ACAGACTCATAGTCCACTCCTTGATCTTTGATTTTGCCCATGCCGAAGAGGCGACTGGGTCTTATGTGGAGACCGAAGTCTTTTATCAGCTCGCTAGTTCGTACCTGGGCCAAGACGCCAGGTCAACGCCCGTGCCAAGCCGCCAGGTCGCGCTTGGGCCAGGCTGCGCCAAGGCGGTGCCTATGCCAAGCTGCCAACTCACGCCAGGGCCAGGCCGCTAGGTTGCGCCAGGGCCAGGTCATACCAAGGCCAGGCCGCGCCGGGGTGGCGCCTGTGCTAGGTCGCGCCTGTGCCAGGCCGCCCCTGCACCAGGCCGCGTTTGGGCTACGGCTCCACTGCATCAGCCTCGTTAGTGACGTTGGTTACCCACTCCTATAAGAAGCAACTAGGAGCTCGACCTACGGGGGCAGCACTACTAACTTTAGGTCACCAGCTCGCACGGGAGTCTTGGAAGGCTCGACCGGTAGGGGCATCCATGCAGTGTTGGCCGCCTACTCCCGCGGAAGCCACTAAGAGCTCATCTTTGTAGAGGGTACCTCATGAAGTGGGCTGATGAGGCTTTATCCAAGTTGAAATAAAGTTCGTAGAGCTGCTTAGTCTGTTGGCCATCAACTTCCTACATAGTCTTTGAGTTCATAAAAAATGGAAACTAAAAAGTGAGAGCTTTTAGTAGATCTTAAAGTTTTGGAAGAAGAGGACTTAGCCATTCAGAGGATGAGAACTTAGCTTTTTGTAATGTTTCCCACAGATGGCTCCAATTGATGAATCGATTTTTGTTGATGTATTGATTTTTTGGCTAAGTACCTCGTCATTTGGTCTGCTTCCAAGTGGCCAATGACTCAGGCCGAAGTGGAGAACTTTGGCTGCCGAGCTGATTCAAGTTGGGTAGGCTAGATTGTGAGCTTACTATAGTGCCAAGCTGCTTGTAAGGTGCCGAGCTGCCTAGGTGCCGAGTTGCCTGTGAGGTGTTGGGCTGACCAGGTGGCAAGCTGCCTGTGAGGCGCCGGGCTGACCAAGTACAGGGCTGTCTATGAGGTGTCGAGCTGCCTGGTGACGAGCTGGACTGATGAGCTTCGTTGCTCTTTAGAGACCTGCAAGGAACCAAATGTCAGAGGACCCGGGGTGGCTAACCCGACGAGGTCGCTCCAATGCTTAAGTCAGTACTCTCATAGTAGACTGCGAGCTAAAAATCACAAAGTCTAAGAGCTAGAACTTGCTTGCTTGCTCGCCATTGGGGTTGGTGCCTTTATATAGACATTGTTTGGCGTGGGCTTCACACACCATATCTGAGATTTTTGCGAGGTCGTCTAAGTGGTTCGAGATTCTTGGAGGTAACTGCCATGCACGTTGACCACCCTCTGGATCGTTCAGCACGTGGGCCAACTTCCAACGATCATGGGAGTATTAGGATATGCATGTCGAATTTGTCGATGAGCACGTCTCCCTGGCCGCCAGGTCGTGCCTGTGCCAAGCTGCCAGCCCGTGCCTGTGCCAAGCTGCCAGCCCGTGCCTGTGCCAGGCTGCCAGTTCGTGCCTGTGCCAGGCTGCCAGCTCCCGCCAGGGGCCAGGTCGCGCCAATGCCTGGCTGCTAGCTTGTGCCTGTGTTAGGCTGCCAGCTCGCGCCAGGGCCAAGCCGCTAGGTCGCGCCTGTGCCAGGCCACGCTTGGGCCACCAGGTGGGACACCATCAACTTGGCTAAGGCAAGTTGTTGCCAAAGTGGTTCCGGGTGTCACCTAGTTCTTCCGAGGTGACATGTGTCACAATGTCATTGGAGAGCCAAATCTGCACTCATCAGACCCATCTCAAGTTTTTAATTCCCAAACCTCCCCACCTCTTAGGGGCACAAATTCTCTTCCATCCCATCGAAATTAAAGGCTACCTCTCATTCTTATTTGACCAAATAAATGATCTATGACTCTTATTTAAATCTCTAATGATATTTTTCGGACTTCTAAAGAATTCATGATAAATTGAGGCATTATATTTGAAACCAAATTCACAAGAGTCATTCTCCCTGCATAGGATAGAGTTTTCTTTTCACAATTTTCTATTCACTTTGTCCATCAAAATATAAAAGTAGATTTTGTAACTCTTCCCATCAATAGCGGGGCTCCTAGATAAATATTATATTTGGATTTAAGGGGAACCCTTAGCATCCTTGCCGTAATTCTTTTTCGTGGCTTTAGGTCAATTGAGAATTTTTGCCAATAAAAGTTTTTGTTACCCGCTAATAAGGCAACATTATCCTTCTTGTGTGAATGCTCATTGATTTTTCACTTCGATTTTTTATATGATAGATAATTAATACATTTAGGTTTAATAATTTCACTTTGATTTTTCACTTTGATTTTTTCACTTTGATTTTTCACTTTGTTAGACAGTTTTGTATGCCCTTAGCTCCAATCAGTTTTGATGTGCTTTTGACATTTAATGTAAATGAATAAAGTGCATGTTTGATTCATGTTGTGTGATATGTTTCTGTGTAAGACCCTTAAACTGGACACTTAATGAGACTTGTGTTAGTTTAGAATGTTCACAGCCGTTGGATAAGTCTGGGGAGATTTATCCTCCCAAGGCTGACACTGGTGTGCTGCCAAATGTTGGGGTGGCCTGTCACAGCGCCAGGGTGAGACCCAAGGCACATGCAGTGTAGGATTACATGAATCTTTGAATCGGACCATATTTCTAGTATTGCCCTGGACCTTGGAGATTGATGGGCAAAACTGGAAAGTTACACCTGACCCCTATACTCGATTATGATACTGCACTAGGTGGCAGATTGGGTTATCTTTGATATGCCAATCAGTGAGATCCTCAAAGGGGGTCAAAACCTGGGTATGATGGGATGGTTCATGAACCCATCTGAGTGGCTGATCATAGTGACGGGATCAGCCCCTTTGTCGGACAAAGGTAATGATCGGGGATGCACTCTCTCTGATGGAAGCCAAACTTCCGACAATTGATTTCAATCGCTGGAATTTTGTTTTGCAAAATTTATATATAAGATATATAGATATGTACGGTTTCAAAATGTTTGCAAATGGTTTTAATTCTTGGGATCCATATGAGGAGAGAGTGCAACACTGTTCCTTGCAGCCGAGGGAGAGGTCCTTTCTTGTCGGGCAGTGATTGATCATTATGGGCTGAGAGGTTGAGTGTAAGGCCATTTAGGGTTGTACCTGATGGGCTAATCTTGCATATGCCCATAGTCCCTGTGTTTTTATAAGATGGCTTGGCCCAGGGACCACTTAGTGTAAGTGTTGGGCCCATAGAGTCCATGTGGTGGGCTCAGGGGGTTCACTGGGCTCTCTAGTGAATTCGTTTAGGCCTTGTAACAAAGGCTGGGCCGAACCCATGTGGCTGATGTGTAGATCAATGCTTGGGTCCCACGCCATACAAAGAAGCCCAACTGGGCAGTAGTTTGGAAGCCTATTGAGCACTTAATACATATTGGGTCTAAAGCCCATTTCGAACTGGGCTGATTTGATCAGTCACTTAAAGGGGCGGATCTAAGATTAGGTTAAGCCAAAAAGGATTGGGTCTTGACCCTATCCACTCATTGAGACCAAATTCATATTAGGATTTGAATTTGGTAATCTCCTGATAAGATCAAGAGTGGGCTGATCTAATCTGCAGATAGGGTTAAGAAGACTGCTTATCCAAATACAGGTTTGGATAAGGATAACTCCTAATGAGATTAGGAGGTTTCTTAATCACTAAGAAAGAGGAGGAGAAAAACCCTAATTTGAATTACAAGAATTCAAACCCTAGGAATTTCGCAGAACACTCTGTAACTTTGAGATAGGATCTCAGAAACCCTAAAGAAGAAAAAAGCAATTTGCCATCTTCTTCTCTAGCCTTCTCCTCCAGTAGCCGCCGCTATCTACTGCAGTTCGAATTCTCTTTGAAGGAAGATCAAGAAAAGTTCTTGATTTTATGTGGTGCTCTTTGTTTCCATCGAGTTTTCAGAAGAACCTGGTTCGTGGGACGAACATTGCTGGATCTGCTCCATCATCGCTGTGCCATATTCAGTGGGAGCAGTTCTTGGTATCCTCTTTGGGCGTGAACACCAATGTTGGGAGATATTGCTTCTCTGGATCAGGTATATCCCTTCCCTTCTCTTGTGGTTCAGATCTGGTTCGGTTTTGGTTCAAGTTAGAACCTTGAATACTGTATTCTAAATTTAGGGAATATGATTCCCAGTTAGAAGAATGACAAAAAATTTTTGAAATTCGCCCACCCATTTTATAACCTTTTTGGCGTCCATATGATGGATCTTACTATTGTTTCATTTTTGCCATTAAAAGTTTTTGTTACCCGCTAATAAGGCAACATTATCCTTCTTGTGTGAATGCTGATTGATTTTTCACTTTGATTTTTTATATTTTTTGCCACCATCATATAGTATCGTTGTCGGCATCTCGCCTCACTGTCGTCACCCTCGAGGAAAGAAGCTCCAAATTTGGTGAGAGAGAGACCAAAGCTTAAGAGCGTTGACACTAATACTTCCATTAGTAGATCTCTCAATGTGAATTTAATTTCAACAAACCGGATGGATACAGAACCAGCAAGGTCCCTGATTGTGAGGTACCAAGTCTGCTAGCAAGGTTCTACACAAACTCTGGCCAGGGTAACTGACTCTTCAACTTTATGGAATGAAAACAAAGTTGGTGCGGTGCAACTATTTGTCTTGGTTGCCGGTCACTCTAGGGTGTACTTGGGTGTAAGAGCCCAAAAGGCTAGCTCTACTCTAATTCTAGGAAACCAATTTGTTCCTAAAATAGCAGCATTAATTATATTAAGCTCAGGTTTTTTATTAGGTTGATATTTTCTAAAACCCCTTTTTAAACGAAAGCTGAAATGTGAACAAATACAGACCCATCCATATGAAACCGGGTAACGAAGATCGAACACTATACTATTTGGTCAAAATGATTCTAATACCATCTCAAATCATTCAACCGAGGTGAATTCCTTAAATAGGTGATATTCTCTAACAATTGTTAATTAGACAAATTCCGTTAATTAGAATCCATTCAACTCATGGATCTTCAAAGGACAAGTATGATATACATATGAAACAGAAATATGGTTGACAACAGGTCACTCTTGAGCAAAAACAGACATGAATCCACAACTAAAGGATCCTTGAAGCAATTTACACTACTTCATCAGGATTTCTGAAGATATCTACCTGAAGGGATTCAGTGGTCAAACTAGAGGGAAAGAAACCTGCAAAGCTCTCTAGCATCTGAGGGGTGAAGACATCGTTGAAAGGCTCGAACAAATTAGAATCCGAGCTCGCCGGCGACTCTTGATAGGTATCAACCCTAGGGATTTCGGGGGAATCATCATACGTGACCTTAGCAACTTGATCTGGAACTACCTGAACGCCATCGACACTGTCGAAATCGGAGAATCTAGTGGCGTCCGTCTCGTCTGAGTCTCGGCCGGTTAGCTCTTGCACTAGAGCCCTGAACTGTGAAGCACTGGTCTTCACCTTCATGGGGTTTGAGATGTAAACGACTTTGATTGGTTTGTTCTTTGACTTGGCTTGTTTAGCGCCCTTTCTCTGATGAACACTCAGCTTATCCATTTCTGGAGATTATGGAGACAAAATCCCAAAAGGATGGTCGAAGCCAATAGTGATGACTGATAAGCAGTGATGAGTTTCTCTTCTACATAAAGGAAAACCAGATGAGGAAGGTGGGCGGATTTGAAGGCGTACGGAGGTGGTTTCTGGCGTGGTTTCGTGGAAGAGAGAGGGAAGGGAGAAGGAAGAGAAAAAACAAGCGGTTTTAGTGGAGTCAATGGAAGCTCTGGAGAGAGAGAGAGAGACTTAGCATGGAAAAACCGCTGTTATGAATACCTCAATAATGATGCCACGTGGCCATCTAGAATCCCTCGAGTGGATGTGGGTGGTGACGTTTCTGTTTGGATTCGTGCAGACGTCAGGAATCTGACGTGCTATATGGGTTGAAGTTTATCCCACTCGCATGCATGGCTTTCTTCGCTCGGCTCAAGTTCGGAAAGATTTGTGCTCGGCTCAGATACGCAATTCCTTTCAGTGGAATTCGTGGTGGAAATGGAATTTAGCCCCTAATTCCGCATGTTTTTGGACTGCTAAACTAGTGACTGTAATGCGTTAATTATATTCCCTATTTTAGAGGTTTTGAAGTTACAAGGAAAGAGTAGTCATTTGGTTGATTTTTCTGCTAAATGATGCCTAAATTCTTTTCGTCCTAGTTATTCAAACAGTGTGTGTGGAATAGTTGCCGAAAGTTGGAGATTGGCTCCCTCGATCAATTCCGCCCCCAAATCCATTTCCACGGTAGTCAAAATACAGGTTTAAGAAAAACACTACGGATCTCTGCTAGTTGGTTATATTATGTAATCTTTGTTACATCTCGTTAGATAAAATAGGCATATGAATTCATGCCTACTAAAGAGAAACAATTACCCGCTCAGTTTAAACTTGGAATAATTAGCAAATATTTATAATTTAAAACAAAAAAAAAATCCAAGAAATTTCCTTTCCTCATAGGAAAGGAAAACTCAATGCCCTATTCTCTCTATCCTTCACCTTTTTTTCCTTTGTATTTTTTTTCCTTCTCTTAGATGAAGACCACTATTCTCTAGCATTGTTTGAAAGAAGGTTAGGATCCATCAAATGGATGGCCAAACTATGCAAGATGGTTGACGAAATTTCAAAAATTTTCTTAACCTTTTGTGAATCGAATTCCCTGATTTTCGAAAAATTGTATTTTTTTAGGACCGATCTTGTACTTAAATCGGATCAGATTTGAAACCAAACAAGAAGAAGAAATATACCTTATACGGATTCCACAAATGTATCTCCCAAGGTGGTAGTTCATGCTCAAATTAGTCCCTAAAACCCGCTTCCACTGAAGATGGAGCAGCTTAAAGTTGAAGTCGGTTCAACAATGCAGTTTTCAGCAAAACTGCAATCCAACAGCTTGGATCAAACTGGAGAGGTGAGCACGAATTTTCTCTGTATTTTTCTTGCAAAAACTAGAGAAAGAACTGATCAAGATCAGTCCCAAAAACTGAGATTGAGCTAGGGTTTCATGGGTGGCAAGAGGAGAAGAGAGAATGCATAATTGTAGAGTGTTTTTTAGTAGTTTGATCTCTTCTTCCTTTTATCCTTTATAGAGCACCTCTTCTAATCGAATTAAGAGGTTTATCCAAATCTTTATTTGGATCAGGACTCTATCAAGAGATAGGTCTTATCTTCCTAAGAGAATGGGTGCTCCATACCCATATCCAAACCCAGATTTGGCCATGTCACATGAGAGCTTAAGCTGTCACGTGACATCTTAATTAATCATATAGATTATGGGCTTTAGGCCCATTAGCTATATGGCTTGCGTCCCAAGAGTGTTGCTTGGCCAATTTAGGTTTGATTTGTATAGCATGGGACTCCATAATGACCTCACATAAACCCACATGGGTTCGGCCCAGCCTCTATGAAAAGGCCTGGTCGAATTCACTACCAAATGCAGTGAACCCCTGAGCTCATCACTATGGGCTCAAGATGGGCCCAACATTTACAGTTAAATGATCCTTGAATCTAGCCATCCTATGAAGACCCAAGGATAATAGACTTAATTAAGATATAGCCCATCAGGTAATCAGCCCTTAATGGTCTCTTACACTTAATCTATCAGCCCATAATGATCACACACGGCCCGACAGGGAAGGACCTCTCCCCTGACTACAAGGTGCAATGTTACACTCTCTACTCAGATGGATCCCGGGAATTAAAACCTTTTGCAAACACCTTTCTTAAAACATAATATATATATCATAAATATATTTTGCAAAACAAATCTCAAACACGGTTGAAATCCATTGTAGGTAGTTTAGGTTTCCATAAGAGAGAGTGCAGTCTCGATCATTCACTTTGTCCAACAAAGGAGCCGATACTATTACTATGATCACCCACTTAAGTGAATTCTCAAATTACCCCAACATATCCAGGTTTTGACCGATAAAGGATCTCACTGATTGGCATATCAAAGACAGCTTAATCCGACATCCAGTACAGTACCATAATCAAGTCTAGGGGTTACGTGTAACTTTCCAGTTTTGCCCATCAATCTCCAAAGTATAGGGCATAACTGAAAATGGTCCGGCTTCAGTGTTTCAACCTAACACCCACTACATGTGCTTCAGGTCTAAACCTAGCAGCTAAGACAAGCTACCCCAACTTCTTTGCCAGCACATTAGTGTCAGCCTTAGCCGAATAAACTCCCCAAGTCTATCCAACAGTTGAGAACATTCTAAATTAACACGAATCTCATAAGTGTCCAGTTTAAGGGGTAAATTCATAGGAACATACCAATAACAACATTAAACAATAATGTGCTTTTGTTCATCTACAATGAATGTATATGTACATCAATCTGATTGGAGCTAAGGGCATACATTGTGTTATAGCTCCTACTTGCACTTAGGTTCAATCAGGTAGAAGCCTCTATCCCATATTGTCCACGTGTTTCTCAAATACTTTTTGTGTCAGTGGCTTAGTTAATGGGTCTGCCACATTCTCCGCTGATGCTATCTTCTGAATCTAGATGTCCCCTCTACCAACAATCTCCCATAGTATGTGATACTTCCTCTCGATGTGCTTGGACTTCAAGTGGGCTCTTGGCTCCTTAGCCTATGTAATGGCTCCAATGTTGTTGCACAACAGTGGAATGGACGATGTATTGGATGGAACAACTCCTAATTCATGGATGAATTTCTTCATCCAAACTACTTCCTTGGAAGCTTCACTTACGGCAATGTATTCGGCCTAAGTTGTAGAATTTGCTGTGGACCCTTGTTTGCTGCTTTTCCAACTAACTACACCGGACCCCATCGTAAAGATGTAACCAGAGTAGACTTTCTATCATCTGGGTCAGACTGGAAGTCGGCATTAGTATACCCGACCATTTGTATTGAACTATCATTGAAGACAAGACAATAGTCTTTAGTCCTCCGTAGGTATTTTAGTATGTTCTTCATAACAGTCCAATGCTCCTATCTTGTGTTTGATTGGTATCTACTTATGACATTCACAACCTAAGCAATGTCTAGTCGAGTACACAACATGGCATATATGATGCTCCCTACGGCTGAGGCATAAGGAACCTCTCTCATGCCCTCAATCTCCTTAGGGGTCTTAGGTGACATACCATTGGAAAGAGTGACTACATGCCTGAAAGGAATGAATCCCTTCTTAGAGTTCTCCATGTTGTACATGTTGATGATCTTGTCAATATAAGTAGATTGAGGTAATCCTATTTTCCTTTTCAGTCTATCTCTATAGAGTCGAAGTCCCAAGATTTAGGAGACTTCTCCAAGATCTTTCATGGAAAATTATTGTGAAAGTCATACGTTCACCGCAGTCAACATTTCTACATCATTCCTAATGAATAGAATGTTGTCTACATATAGAATCATAAATGTAACATTTTCTCTCACTATCTTTTTGTAAACATAGAGTTCATCCGGATTCTACTCAAAGTCAAACTGTTTGACCATTGAGTCAAATTAGATATTCCTATTTCTGGAAGCTTGCTTCAACCCATAAATGGACATGTTCAGTTTACACACCATATGTTCTTGACCCGAGGCAACAAAGCCTTGCGACTGTTGGATATAGATATCTTCAGTAAGGTCTCCATTCAGGAATACGGTTTTGACATCCATATGCCAAATTTTACAATCATAGTGTGCATCTAGCTAATAGAATCCATATGGATTTGAGCATGGCCACGAACGAAAAGGTTTCCTTATAATCAACTCCTTCTTTTTTAGTGTACCCTTTCGCTACAAACTGAGCTTTATAGGTATCAACCTTTCCATAAAGGCCCTTTTTCCTCTTGTAGATCCATTTGCAACCGATTGCTTTCACCCCAGGGGGTGGGTTTATGAGAGTCCAAACTCCGTTGGTTTTCAATGAGTCCATCTTGACTTTCATGGCATCTACCCACTTCAAGGAGTCTATGTCCAACATAGCTTCCGTGTAAGTCACGAGATCTTCCTCACTATTCGTAACTTCCATCAAGTAACTTTCTTGATCATAGATGTAATGAACTGGAGGTCTAGACACCCGGATAGATCTTCTAAGTTGGGTATTATTTGGAACCTATAGGTTATCTCCTACTACTCCTGAGCTCTCTTCATCAAGAAAAACTTCTTGATGATGATTGTTCAGGATATAGTCTTCTTCCAAGAAATAGGCATTTCGACTAACAAACAATTTTTGTTGTCTAGGGTCATAGAAAAGATACACTACAGAGTCCTTGGGGTAGCCTACAAATAGGCAACGACTGGTCTTGGATTCCAATTTGTCCGCACAAGTTCTTTTAATGTGTGTTGGACAACCCCATATTTTCAAGTGCCTTACACTTAGTTTCTTACCAGTCCATAGCTCATAAGGAGTCTTAGGAACCGATTTGGTTAGAACTCGGTTTAGCATGTATATTGCAGTCTCTAATGCATGTTCCCAAAAGGATATAGGTAATTCTAAATGAACGAGGAGTGATCAGACCATATCTAATAGAGTTTGGTTTCTTATCTTTGACACACCGTTTAATTGTGGTGTAGTAGGAAGAGACAACTACAATATAATCCCATTGTCCTTTAAGTAGTCCCTGAATTCGTCAGAGAGATATTCACCTCCTCGATCTGATAGAAGGGTTTTGATGTGTCTCCCCAACTATTTCTCAACTTCTTRTATAAACTCCTTGAACTTTTCAAAGGATCTAGACTTATGTCTCATTAGGTACACGTAACCATACCGAGAATAATCATTAGTG